TCCATCCATCCATCCATCCATCCATCCATCCATCCATCCATCCATCCGTTTCAACTTGTTCCAAAAACTACATACTTATTATTTTTTCTTTTTTTCTTTTGGCTTCTCCCTTCTTTAGGGGTTGCCTACAGTAAACTAAGTCGCATGAAGACTTGCCAATTATTTACTGCGCCAGATGCCCTTCCTGATGCAACCACAGACCACGGAGCTACCACAGCCCAATGTGCGGATAGTGGGGGTTAAGGGCTTTGCTCAAGGGCCCAGTGTGGGGCAAATGAGGGTGGAGGCAGGTGTGGGTGCTTCACCTTTCCACCCACATTTTGATGTTGTCAGTACCAGGAGTTGAATCGGTAATCTTCCTTCTGATCACAGGTCCACCTTCTTTAACCTCTGCGCCACCATCATACATATAAAATACATGGATTAAAAAAAAAAAAAAACTTGGTCCTATTTACCTTTCTTGTTGCTCTTAATCCATATTTTATTTAATGTTTTACAAGCAAACTAAAAAGCATGCTTCATATAATACATTTTGTTCAGTGAGTTCATTTGGGGTGGTGACCCTTGAAGAAGGATGTAGCTGAAAGAAAAAAGAAACCACGTTAGACTATTTTTAGTTTTATGTTTGTCATGAACAAAAGTGTGACTTCCTTCTTTCTTTATTTTTTTGCAATTGTGCTAACTTGAGCCTAAATATGATCAAATGTAAGCCACCTTTAAATGCTTTAGTTTTTTTTTCTTCCATAAAAGCCAAATATTTTAGAAAACATTTTAGGTGGTTCAAAATGTTTATGTACCATAAGCTTTGAAAAGGCCTTTAAAAGTTTTTTAACCTCTTGTTACTTTATAGTATGCTCTTCTTCATTTCAGTCATTTTACATTACCATGCAAATTAGCTGTACTTAAAAATGGAGAAAGTGTACAAATAAAAACTTTTTAAAGTGTTAAATCTGAAAATATATAGTTACAACAGAGCGATCTTTAAGAACCTCTTGACATGGAACTTGAAATATGCAGCATTATTTTCTGCTTTTCAAGAATAACATTGGTAGAGCTAAACTTTTGTAATAAACTTTCCTTTTCTTATCAACCTGGAACACAAGAGGTCAGATCAAGCTGTCCACTTTGATCTATTTAAGGAATTTTAAACAACTGACAAGTTCAACAGAAGAAGCAAACTTTACCTTGTTTTATAAGGCACCTTGATTTTACAACACTACTTTTTATTTTTTATTTTAATTGCATTTTATTGTCATTTATTGTACCTGTTGTTTTAATAAAACAGGTCTCTCTTGAAAATGAGTCAACTCATTGAGAATAATAGGTTGAATGAAGAAAATATTTGTCATTTTTTAAAATAAATTCAACAAAATAATTTAGGGCAAACATTGTGAAAGGTTGCAAACTAAATGGGCACCCTATCTGAAAACTGTTATCCTACACTGACTCTGTGTGATGCTTTTCTACTTGACTCTATTGAGCCTCTATAAAAAAGAAAAGCTTTTCTGTGTTCTTGTTGTTCTGTTTTTTTTTTTAATATATATTGTGTCTGAAATAAAGTAAATGATGATGCTGAGTACATTAAATTTAAAATTGTTTCCCAAAGTTATTTTATGTGCACACAACATAGCTTATCTTTTGGGCTAGAATAAAAATGAATGATAACCACCTGCTAAAATTCAGAAAGTTTATTCGGGGAATTTTTTTATTTATTTATTTTTTTGGGAATAACATAATCGCGTGTGACCTATTTGCCCAGCACTATTGGAATTATGTAATAAATGTGTGTTTCATAGAAAATATTCCGATTGAAACTCACTTTGTACGTATAGCAGTAAGGACGGCACTTCCTACTCTTGTATTAACGTCATATACGAGCATTTATTCGACATGTGGGCTTTTTTTGTGTCACGGTGTCGCTGCTTTGTGTTCGTTAAAGCCATAAAGTGCTCGCTCTGAGCGCGCGCGGACTCCAGAGAGCAGCAGATCTGCGCGCGCGGAGTCACCTCTGATCATCACAGCAGCTCAGCAGCGGCCTCCATTTTAACTCCGACACCGAGTCGTGCCTCACGTGTCCTGGGCTGTCTCTCTCACATGACCCGAGTGTTTGTTCCCGTGATCAGCACTCCCATCTCCGTCTGTGACACCGAATATCACTTTTTATTTTCACCCTGATGGATATGCTCGAACAGAGTCTGGACACTGCAAGGTAACCGAGACTCGGTCAAAATGGCTAACAGACAGCGAGCTACATCAGGCTATTTACGCATCGCTAGTTTACGACGCTAAAGCAAGGCCTGAGCCGAAAAACTGCTCTTAAAACGACTTTAATAAGACGAGTGAAGTGTAGTTAGCCACAAGTGCCCAAAGTCTTTGTAAGCAGCGTATATGACAAGTCTCATGCAAGCAAACACATGTATTTTGTAGAAAAAGTGATCATAATTAGGTAATAACAATGTAGCTGCTAAGTTAGCTTAAGCTAGCTTTTAAAACAATAATGTTGTGAACAACTGAAGGAAACCCGCGAAATAGTGTTCTCAGTTATTTTACTTTGTTGGTTGAGTTCGTGCACACGTTTGGTCAAACAGGTTCATAGATAACATTGATTTTACTTTTGATTAACAATGTTTTATTTGATTTGCAGTCAAGAAAAGCAAGAAGAAGAGGTTGTCCGGGTATCTGAAGGTAGGATCTTTTAATGTTTTTTTTATTGACATAGGCTAGAATGTCAGTTGTATCTTAAGTTTTAAGCTGCAAAATGCTTTTATCTGATAAGTTAGATTTGTGCCAAATACTGCATGGAAAGTAGCTACTGTGCAAAAGTCTTTAGTCACTCCCCATATATTTTGTATATTTTGCATCTAGAGACTTTCTTGCAGTTTCTAGTTTCTCCTAATCAACATATTTCAAACTTTTTTTTTTTTTGCTTATTCTGTTAATTTTCAATCCAATATGTAATAATTTTTTGAAAGAGTATTGTTTTTTTTTTAATCATTTACTCTGATCTGTGGATCTTTCAGACAATATTCTCTAAAATCAAACTAATCTGGTGTTGTCTTTAGGAGTAACAGACAATTTATATTTAAAAAAAATGTTTTAAATTGAATTTTTATGCAATTTAATAATAGCAGTCTGTCACAAAGACACCATTTGTCCCCACTTTTTTAGTTGACTCTATAAAATACCAAAGTAACACACACATAAAAGAGTACTTTAACTTAAGAGTGGGTTATTAGCTGAAAACTTAACATCTACTAAACATTGCTGTATCTCTCAGGTCTTGTGTCAAGTCCTTGTTGGATTTTTCCTCTATTTGGGAAAGATGCGATTTTCAGAACTGTCCATCTGCTGTAAATTGTCCTTTTAATTTAGGCCTGACATTCTTTTATCCGCTTGTTTACTTTACACTGCATGCTGGACTGACCACTCTTTCCTTCTTTCTGTCTTCCTTTGTATCGCTTTAAGACGGAACAGGAGAAGAGCAGACGGCTGTAACTATAGCCAGTGTTCAGCAGGCTGCAGCGTTTGGTGAACATAACATACAATATCAGTTCCGCACTGAGAGCGGCCAGGTACGTAACTGCTAGATCAGTGAGTTACAGCCAATGACATCTGCTTCTTATATGCAAGCTTTAGAACTATTTATAGTGTTGTCATGCAGGCCTGGACATTAAGGATAAGATGAGTTTGTTTAGGAAGGGAGACGACAGAATAATTTGAGATGTAAGGTTGATTAAATGTCCAAACAGTGTTTGTGCTGAGTCATAGTAACTGAGAGCTCTCCATAGAATGATGTTAAAGATAGTTGAAAGGATGTGATCAACTGCAAAGTGTGCCATTTAGGTGAAAAATAACAAAAGATAAAACCAAATATTTATTTAGCTATTTCTTTTAGACATGTAGACTTGTGCTGTTGGGTTCGTTTTGACTTTGGGTCAGAGTGGCTCTATAGGCGCAGGAATTTCGTATTCAAGATGTCACTAATTGGCACAAATGTGAGGAGAATAAGTAGGTGAACAATCAGATGACTGAGAAAACAGAAGCATCTATTGTTTATCAGCAAAACTCTGCTGATGAAGCTTTGACCATGATTTAATGTGAAACTTATTGTTAACAATCATCTTGGTGAAAATGGTTTGTGGGGATGTCAATGACTCTAACAACATAAAGCTCTTTTCTCTAAAATGATCGTTCATTAAAGTGATACCTCAAGCCTGTTGGATTTTAACCAATCAGCTTACCTTTGAGTTTGTTATAATTAATTCTTGTTTAAACAACAACTTTTATTGTTCTTTTTCCAATACCTGATTATAACTGTTGTGTTTTTTGGTGGCCTGCTGTGCTGGAGACACATTCAATATTTGTTTGTTGCCATTTGGCACAGTTGAGAGGCTAAACAGAATTTGTTGTTGACTATTAGACAAAATGAAGCTGGAAAATTATGCAATAATATTAAATTAAATTAATACCGTTTACACTGATATACAAGAACATTAAGAACCAAATCAAAAGTGCATCACGAGTTGCTGTCGGTTCATTCTGGAAACAGTTTCTTCACAAACAATCCCTTCTTTTTAATTTGTTTTTCTTGTTTTGCTTTTGTATTTTTTTTACTGTTCTTCTTGTTCTCATTTTCCACAGTCAGGACTGCAGTTTCTGAATTCCTTAAATTTATTAATATTAAAATAGTCATTCAACCTTTATTCATACAGGTTAGTCTCATTGAGCCTCGAGGGCTCATTTACAAGAGAGACCTGAAAATATATTCTAATGTATTATAATGATATAAAATATTTATGTTTCTTATAATTGATCTGGGAATATTATTGAGCATGCACCTAGTCACTTGCGCAGAACTATTTCTTACTAGTCAGTGATGGACAGTTAAAAGATGGAAAAACCACAGTGAGATTCGGATATTTATTTGAACAATTTGCGCCGAGGGGGAATTAAATCCAGTGATCCATGTGGCTGATTTGGTGTAAACAGGTCGAGCACGCGTGTGAACAATCATGTGATTCCAGTCTGGTTTGGGATTGGCATGGGGAAACTGTCACATGTCAGTCAGGAGGACGGTCACATGGTAGTGGGATACAAGTACTTATTCTTGGAACAAACAAGCTCATTTTCTTTGCTGTTTTTTAATATTGAATCAGGCACATTCTGAAGCGTAGGCATATTGTGTGAGATGGTGAGATCTGCACTGCTGAGGTCAGGACTCTAGATTCAGACGGTAGGCTTGGACAAAGTGGAAGCGCAGAAATGATAAACAAATCTACAAATCAGGTGAGGTCTTGATCTGTGTACAGAACACCTGCTAGATGCACTAGCAAATAATTAAAAAAACTTCAACAGCTGGTGGCTCTAATGACTTTCACCTAAGCTACTCTAACCGATGTGCGTTTATGTCCCACAGGTGACGTACCGTGTCGTGCAGGTGACGGATCAGCACCTTGACGGAAGAGAAGATGCAGGAGGAGCTGTGAGCGTCGTCTCAACAGCTGCTTTTGCTGGCGCTCCTCAGGCTGTAGCTCAGGTTATATGTTTTTGTTTTTTTTTATCCATTGAATGGAACCTACTAGTAATATGGACCATTCAGAAAAATGAGTCGTATTCTTCATGTAAATATATATATTTATTTTTAACAGTTTTCACGAAGAGTTTTGAGATGATCCTATGTATCAACAGTCAAAGTTAAAGGCACTTGAAACTTGTCAGTTTTCTTTAGTTAATACAAATAACTTTTTGGTGGCAATTTTATCCTTCTGAAAATGTCAGCTTATAATTATGTTTGACAGGCCAGAGTGTGGCTGCAGACAGCCAACCCCACTTGAAACAAGTTTTTTTCAAAATATTATTTTAAATGAGGCAGTCTCAGAAATGCTTGTTGACCTTGTGTTTATGTACATATACTAGGATGGAGTACAGTGCATGTTTTTATTTTTTTCAAACATACTTTAATGAGCAGCAGAAATAAAAGCAGCTAAAGCAGCAGAAATAAAAGGTTTCCCTCTGTCCTAGTTAACCTGCTGGCCCCATTTTTATCCACAGCTGGAACACTACACAGTAAACACTGCTTGTTATGCTAGTTTGAGATTGTTTTGAACTAAATAAACAAGCACTTCTTGGCAAAAAAAAAAAAAAAAGTTTATATATAATAAAGTATTAAAAGTATTTTTAAGGTTTATTTAAATTGATTGTATTGGGTGAAAACGACTCATTTATTTCTCACATTAAATTATTAAAGGTACTACCGTTAAGCTTCCATGGATTTTATCTCTATTTAATTTTAATTAAAGCTGCAGGTGAAATGTTTATTAGACGGTAAAACTACATGAGATGGACGCCTTCCTGACACAGAGTGACTTAGAAGGTTAACATGTTGCAGATGTTTTTTTTTTTTTAAATTGTTGGTTTTTGGTAGCATAAATATATATTGATCAACTGGTCACAGAAGTCTGTTGGGGTCAGCCTCCCCACCATCAGACATCTACACATCTAGATGCAGGAAGAGGGCCACCTGCATCATGAAGGACCCCACTCACCCAGCACACTCACTTTTTGCCCCACTCCTCTCAGGCAGGAGGTTGAGGAGCATTAAGTTTAGAACCACTAGACTGGGACACTAGACTTCTACCCTGAAGCTGTTAGACTCGTGAATCCCTAATCAGGACAATCACTGTGAAAAAAAAATCACTGTAATGCCACTTGATTGTTGATATTTGCAGCTGACTATCCATCATGTTGTTGTGTTCATTCGTACTCATCTGCTCACACAGCCTCATGTTCGTGCTGCTGTTGTCTGCTGTATTGTTTTTGCACTATTAATGTTTAGCATATTCTTATTTCATATCTTAGATTTTATTACTGTTTTTCTTATACATTTTATTGTTGGATGTAACTGGGACCCTGTGTACACAATTTTGTTCCACCACATGTGATATGAATTAAAGAAACTTTGACTTTGGTGTGTGTATATATATATATATATATATATATATATATATATATATATATATATAATACTTTTTACTTTTTTGTTGTAAAAATCTATTTTTTTTGCTGTAAAGTTTGTTTTCATTTACATTTGATGGCTCTACTGACCTTGCCGTTATCCCCACTAAGAAGATCTCTGTCACTTCTCCGCTTCCTTTAATCAAGCTGTCAAACTGCTCAGACTCTTTCTTGGGGGGTCTTTAGGGGACAACGTTATTGAGTCTGACAGAGAATGAGGTGTGCGTTTACCTGCTGTGACTGCTCTAGTGCTTCTTGCTCAAGCCTCTCCTCTGTTTCTCTCTTACCTGTCACAGGCTGTGATCCAAAACCCTTTCAGTAATGGAGGAAGCCCAGCAGGGGAGGCAGTGGGAGGGGAGACCCGCTTTGCTTATTTCCCCGCAACTGCGGTGAGCGACGGGACTGTGTCAGTGCAGGCCGCTGCAGACCCTACCCTCACACAGGCAGGGGGTGAGTGGGTTTTCACACATTCACAGTGCTACACAGCTAATTAAGCCATTATTTTGTTATAAAGGAGTTCATTAGAAGTACCTTAAAGCCAAAATAACATCCAGTCCTTTCAGTAGTAATAAAATAACCATTATCCCTTCCGCTTTGGGTAATTTGAAATAAAACAGAAACTACAGATTTGAATCACACTTATTGTGATTAAAATATGACCAGTACTTGTAATAAAGGTGGACAAAGTACTTCTCTTACAAGTGCATCAATCTCAGAATTTTTAGTATGACTAAGTCATGAAATATTGCTTAATAATGTTGGGCTCTGGCAGCACGGTGGCGCAACTGGTAGAGCTGCTGCCTCTCAGCGAGCACGTTACCCTGGTTCAAATCCCAGTCTGGAGGCTATTCTGGATGCATGTTCTCTCCGTGTATGCATGGGTTAGCTACGGGTACTCCGGTTTCCTCCCACAGACCAAAAACATGCATGTTAGGCTAATTGGTAACTCTAAATTGTCCCTAGGTGAGAGAGAGTGAATGGATGTTTGTCTCGTTTGTTTGTTAAATATTTCCAGCTATAATTAAAATAGTTTATTTTGTAGACAGCAAGTTAATAGAATAAGGAAGCCACTAGTCCTGTGATTTGCAAGCCTTTTTTTTGCATTTTCATCCTGGTTTATTCCAAGTCACATGTTCTGCAACTTGTCTTCGCCCTTAGAGCCAGACATTGTTGTCTTCTTGTAGTAACTATTGTGGTTTTTCAGACGAAGTTGTTGAGAAAAATCAGTAGGTTTAAGTTGCTGTTTCCAGTTGCAAAGGAGGGTTAACGTTGTAAAACTGCTTTAGCTCATAATGCGCAACACATTTGTGTATTTTCTGTGCAACTCTGCTCGGACTTGATCCTGCAAGCACACAGTTACAGACCTCACTGATTGGTGGATTTTATTTTTCCTCAATATTATAAATTGTTGAGGACATTTTCTCTAAATAATAAACGTGATTTTAAAAGTTCAATCCACGTTTAATATAACTCGTGATGTTATGCTTTTTATTTTAAATTAGCGCTGTTCTGCAAATAATGTTATTTATTTTTTGAGAAACTGTCCTTTTCTTATTGTTGCACAAACTTACAATTCTGTCTTGCACCAGAAAAAATAACTTACAAGAACAATCTCAGATGACATGCACTGCCTGGTTTCTGTAACTTGTCTGGAGGTTTCTTTGGTTCATTTGAACTGAAATCAACAGATGATGTAGCTTGTCGGGCTAATGCAACACTCCACACACACTGCATTGTTTTACCTCAGCACTGTCTCCTTGCATCACATGACAAACACCCAAAGGAGCTAGACTACCTCGAGTCCACATCAGTCCCTGCACTTCAGCTGTAATGCTCTCTAGGTGCAGCTTTAGGCAGGACTGTTCTAAAGTTTGAAGAAATTGTTGGGTAAGAGGCTAGACAGTCGACTTCTGTACAGTATTGAAATCTGTGTTATGAATTTGGCTAACAATGCTGCATTGTTTAGTGGAAGCATTCAGTCAACTGGAACGAACACGAGCTCAGAATTTATCAAAGAGATGCAGCTTTTGTACCGTTTTAACTTAACTGTTTAATATTATTGTCACAGGTCAGTTTTATGTGATGATGACACCCCCTGATGTCATTCAAACAGGAACACAACGAACCATCGCCCCACGCACACAGCCCTACTCTGCGTAAGTATCACCTCTCCCTGTTGCCCTTTAAGAGCACAGTAATAATGAAGCCTCAGGCACTACTTAAAACAAACTCAAATGTTTTTTTGACAAACACTAATTTCTCCTCTTTCTGATTCTTGTCAGTCTCAAGTGGTCTTATTGTCTGTATTTTACTTTTTTTGTTGCAACATATCCAGTTTGTTAGCATTGATGCATAGCATTCTCAGAGGCTTGCTAGAAAATATTTTTGCTTTCACTAAACTACATCCATCGGTTTTAAATACACTTCACTAAATGACCCAGTCACATTGAGTAAATAAAGCAGGCTAATTTAATAAATTCAGGTGCTAGGGGGCTTGTAAAGGTACATGGAGTAAAACATGTTTTAAGCTTCAGCCAGGGATGCAATGGATGGCAGTCTGTGATTAGAAAACATGGTAGTTGCTGGAGATAAGATACTTTGTTGTCTCACATGAGTGAATGTGGTTTAAACTCATGAATGTAAAACAACTTCCACATTTATTTAAGTACACAAAAGCTCAAGTTCTGTTGTTTTGCTGCTGCTTCTCCCGGTGCTGGTCTTTGCTCAAGACTTCCTCTCTCCACATAATCTTTTTTTTTTTTTTACCCTGTATTAGTTTAATTTTTGTCACAGACTGTTCAGCAAGGTCTCCCTCTTAATCTCACATTGTCTAAAAGCATCAGGCTTCGTTATTATTGTACAAGTAGTTCTCACTATCTTGAACTGGAAGACACATGTTGGTATTTGTAGTCATTTAGATGATTAGCACCGTCACTTGAACAAAAAGTTTGCAGTTTCAGTTCAAAGACACGATGTCTCTTCTGAATTACTTTGGTTATTTATTTTAGTGCCAAAAAACTAAATATATAATATTTGGTGCTGGAAGAGAAAAGGTTCTTGAATGTCAAAAATCCTCTTTTTAATTTTTTGTTGCTTGGTCACAAACTGATCACATGACTGATTATTTTTAAATTCAGTTTACTTTGATTTAAATAAATATCTACGTTCTCCTCTAGGGTGTTGCTTGAATAAACAAACTTTTTGGCTCATCCTTCTAGAGAACACTACCCGAACAAGTTGTAGTTTCAAAGAAAGTCGTAACATGCTCTGGCAATGCTAAAATCAGCGAGTAAATGTATGACGTCATTAACAACTTCAAAACAAAAGACACCAATATGTTGTCTGTTTAGATACATATGGGACATTAATTATTTATTTTGCTTCTAAGAATTTCTCTGCTCTGAAGCTCTTTTGTTGAGGGCAACTTTAACAATCAGCTCTGCTACATTTGATGTTTTGTATTGATGCAGCATCGGGAGACAAAAACTGTGTTAAAGTTTATGTGTATACAGTTAAATGTTATTCTTGTCATTCCTCAAAATGTTTGTTTGCAGTATGTCTGATTTTTTTTTTTATTCCCTTACAATTATGAGTTTCAAGATGCAATAATTGCTAAATAACGGTGACAGTATCATTGACGTGTGAACAAAGTGAATGAAAGCTTCCCCCCATCTGCCATTCGCAGAGATGAAAACGAGCTGCTGCAACGTGAAGGTTTAAACTGGTGAGGACAGTTTTCACATTTCTTTTACAATGCTTTTTAAATTCTACAACAAATGAATTAATCAAATAAGATCACAAGAACAAAGCAGCTCACAAACTCTGCCCTCCTCTCCTTCCCTCCCATCCTGGTCCCCAGTGATTCTCCAAGCTTTTCATGTGTGCATTTGTTCAATGCCGACCCTGATCCATTGTTGTTAAGTGCTTGTGAAAAATGCATTTTTCCATTAGGAGCAAAGTAATTAGGTCATTGTTCTCCATCTGGAAATAACTGGCTCACTCCTTTATTTTTCATGTATTTTGTGGAGTGTCTTTTGTTGTAGAGGTTTGATTTTATTTAGCGTAGGATTGGAAGTTGATATAACCTGAAGTAGTTTCTTTTCCCATACTGTAGCTACTGCTTATCAAACGCCATTATCTTTGCAAATGGAGTCCGTGGAAACATTGTGATGTCAATTTAGCTATTTCTTCACATAACCAGTTTAATGCTGACCAGCTCACCTGATATTTTAAATCATCCCAACAAGAGTGAAAAGCTCAAATCACCAAGCGCCAACAGCAAATTGTGTAATTTACTGTCTTATTGTCAAGGTCATTGCTTTAGTTATGATTAGAGTAGCCCTTTTAGAGTACAGAAGGTAAAACTTACACTTTTATGAATTAAAATAAACCTGTAACAATTTTTTAAAACTAAAATTAAATAAAAGTGCTTCTGATTTTCTGTAGAAATTCCCTCTCAGGGGCACTTAGACGATGTGCAGCTCTATGTTGTGAAAAGAAGACAGATATAGACAGTGTTATGAGCCCACACATTTAGTGATTCATACTGTCATCCACGTTTTTTAAGAGCACTATTGGCAGAATCCATTTTACTCCTGAAATCCCATTAGGATATATTTAAATACAGGAGAGAGCGTTATTTAGCTTAGCCGACTATCTCATAGGAAGCTTTCAGCAGGTGAATTGTGTTGATGGGACACATTTTTTGCTGTAGAGAGAGGACATAAACAGTAGATGGGTGAGCTTTTACATCGTCATTGTAATACAGAGCAAGTAAACTGAATAAACAGTAGCTGCACCAATGTGCATGATTCTCAAAGCAAATGAAATATTTAGCAGTTCTATTTTCTGTTCCGTTTGAGAAGCTGGAATACGGTTGAGACGTAGTGCTGGTGCCACGGTGGATGATTGGATGGCACTTCCAGGCAAGTCTCGGTAAATTAATTAACAGGATCATAGAGGAACATACAGACGAGAGGCGGTGTTGTTGAGCAAACATTTTATTTGTTGTAATTTTTACAGCATAAAAGAGGCTTATCCTCCCCTTGGGCTTCACCTGGGAGAAAAGCAGGAAGAAATTTGGCCTGGTCACAGAATTCTTGTTATGTGGCTGGAAGCTAAAGGCTTGTGCATCACAGTTACACATGCTTCCTCACATGGCTGCGCAGAAGTTTGTCCACCGTAGGAACTTCAGAGGCTTGCTTTGAATAAGCAATTACAATCCTCTTGAATTAAAAGATAACGGTGAAGAATGGTACAAATAATAGGTGCAGGATTAGCGAGATGTTGGGGAAAGGATTGGATTTGTGCCTGATTGTCTGGTGCTCAAAGATGGTAGATATTGTTGTGTATGAAAAGTGTTTTATTTTCTATTTATCTGCAGGAAAATGGATGGACCCCGAACGCCTCGAGATGAAAGAAGGAGAGCGCAACATAATGAAGGTGGGTAATTAGGAGTGATTGTGGCTTTTGATTTCATCAGACAGTGCAACACAATGCAGTGTAGGGCTTTAATGGGGACATTTCTGTTGAAAGAAAAATCACCAAACCCTGTCAAATCATGCTGTTATCCCACAAATAGATAACGTTTGTTTTCAAACTGTCCACTAGAGGGCACTGTTGAGCTGCCAAAGCCAGGAATTTACTGCAAGGGCCAGAAAACAAAACCCTGGTTTTTGATCCCAACAGGATTTGTAGGATTTTAATAAAAAAAAAAATAAAAAAAAAAGCAATGTCTTTCATTTATCCAAGTTTATTTACTTATTTATTTCTTTACAACTTCATCAGTTGAAAGACGGCGAAGAGACAAAATCAACAACTGGATTGTCACGCTTTCTAAGATGATCCCTGACTGCAGTATGGACAGCACCAAGACTGGAGCCGTGAGCTATATTTCACTCCGATTTTCACGGCTCCCCCATTTTAAAAGTGTCCTTTTTCAGTTTTGTGACTACAGCTCTGTCCTTTCAGAGCAAAGGAGGCATCCTGTCTAAAGCCTGCGACTACATCCGTGAGCTGAGGCAGAATAACCAGCGACTCCAGGAGAGCCTAAAGGAAGTGGAGAGGATACAAGTGGACAATGAGCTGTGCAGGCAGCAGGTATTCATATCAGTGCTTGCTCTGGCCTGCAAATGTGGCATCAAGTGAAGTTTCAATGACTTCAGCAATGCATAAGAGAGTCTATGAATGATAATTCAAAACGTTCCTTTGAGGTGGTCGGGTGTAGCAGATAAATAAAACAGCAGCCATAGTGGGCTGCATATGTGGCTCTGAAGATTGCCACTGCACTGAATAGAATTGTTTGCTGTGCGATGCTCCAACATTCAATGGTTAAGTCTCAGAAGCGTAAAATCCACCCTAGCCCCATGCGTATCTTCATTTCTCCAAAACAAACCCGCTGAGATTCCAGGCTGTGTAGCTAATCATCACAGGCTGACAAAGAGGATCAAAGAGTTTGCACTCTTATAATGAGAAGTGTTACCTGAAATCAGAGCTTTGAGAGGCAGTGGGAATAACATGCACTGGGGCTGTGTGAGAAGTAAGTGCATGCTAATGCATTGAAAGTATTGGGGAATTTGGAGCTCTGGGGCTGCTGTCTCCCTCTTGAATCTGAGGCCTGCAAGGCGCTCGGCAATATATTTTTTATTCTGATGCTCAAAGCTCAATATCCTTCCCTCAGTCCCTTGTCGAGGAAGCGGTAAAGTCAGAATTCACCTAAGGGAAATGAAGCCGAGATGACATACCTCAAGATTTGATAATCCAGTTGGTTGTGGACAGGGCTGTTATTAAACAAGGCTGCAGGCATTGTCTCTAATCCCAGGTACTGCGCAGCCCTGTGCACGCGTTACCATAACCGAGTCGTCAAACAATAAAGTTTGGTCTGTGAACTGCGCCCCGTGTTTAGCTGCCACGGGATAAAGACGTCGATGACGAGATTTTCCTTCTCTGTTCTAAAGATCGAAGAGCTGAAGAATGAGAACGCGTTGCTCCGAGCACAGCTCCAGCAGCACGGCATCGAAATGGTCGGAGAGACGCCGCCGCAGTAAGCGAGATGAAAAGAGCGGGGACGAGCGAACACCACTCGAATGTGTAACTGACACTGTGGAAATGCGGGCGAGATGATTGGAAAAGGACTTGTGGAGAATCACTTTCTTTTTAGTGATTGCCTCCTTTCCCGGGTTCCGGGTCGCGAACCCTTCACCAGCCATTTGTGGCTGCACTTGACTGTTCCAGACCCCTTGAGATAACCACCCGTTGCAGCTCCGTAGAAGTGTTCTCCAAGAAAAGATGTCCCCTCACCTTCATCAGAGTGCTCGTCCAGCACCAGCTATGAAACAGAACCTCTGCTGAACTTCTCCATTGTTTTGTATTTATGTAGCCTCACTAATGGACTATGACTTTTGTTATCTAAATATGTTCCTTGTGAGTTTGGTTTTCTCCCCAACATTAATTTTGTCATAGGTTTTGCTTTTATTCTTTTTGTGTGTTTTTGAGTTCTGTATTAATATGTTGTTTTTAGCTCATTTAATTTATTAGTCTGCTTGCTGACAGAAGCCTTGATGGAGACCAGTTACGCTAAACTCATGTACCCCAGAGAAGCAGGCAAGATTTTTTTTTTTTAAGCAAGACAACATCAAAGTATGCAAAAACATGATTCTAGTGACAAAAATAATGTGACACACACAGCTTACTTACACCCAAAGACAAACGAGGAGCTGTGCAAGCAGGTGCCTCTGGGCTGATTGATGTAAATAGGACTTTTCATGTTTTAATATAGATGTTACAGAATGTTAGAGCCGATTATCTCTGGGAGTCAACAATCAATAACTCATTAACTCCACGCTGGCCCTCCGTCATAGTCATTACCATGAAGTGTGTGCAATCTTGAAGCTTGATTTAGGGAAAAAGGACAGGGGTATACTTGAAATGTTGGGCATTTGCTTGATTGAAAAAAAATAACAAGTCAAAGTAAAGAGAGAAATCACTTAGAAACTTCCGGTTGTTCAAGTGTTTAATTAAAAATGCAGACGTGTGGAACATGCAGACAATTTCCATCTCAGCACTTTGGGTTGTTGACTAGGGAGCATTGCTGTGCAGATCCCAACTTTTTGCCAAATCATATTTCGGTACTGTGGATTTATTTTTATCTTTTGTTCATGTGTGGGTTAGCATGGTCTCAGTGTGTAGAAAGGATCCCCACATGCTTTTTTTTTTTTTTCTCAAGCTGTTTGTCCTTTTTTTTTTGGTTTTGCAACTCTTCAAATAGAGCTCAACCCATGCGGGGGGAGGCGGGGGGCACCCTGGAGAGCAGCACTCAGCCTCTGCTTACTATGGGAAAAAGAATACACAGAAATTGCGTGCTGCACTTTTTGCTCGAGCACATCCAGTTCTCCAAGAAAATGAACAATCGAGGTGGGAAACATGGAGCTCTCACATTCTCCACCCACTCAGGCAAACAGGAAATGACATAATTAGATCTAGAAACAAAAGACAATATTAATATTATTGATGATTTTGTAAATGAAGATACATTAATTTTTTTTCCACTTTGGGTCATGGCGAAAATGGATGGAAGATCAAACTTTAGAGCAACTCATTAAAACATGATTGCCTCTCCCTACGAACAGCTCAGGATCCAGCAAAGCAAAATGGGGCGGACGTCAACATTTAAATATCTGAGACTTGATAACCGCTGCTGTTCTCATTCAGCTCACTTTTTACACCACGATAGGAATAGTTGCAGGTGTCTGATCCATCAAACGAGGCTCATAGAGTTGAACGACGGATGTGCAGCAGGATGATTTTTATTTGTTTTTACATCTCAGAGGAAAGAAAATGTAATGCATTGGAAGATGGATGCTCTCAAATGAAAGACCGTACATGTTTAAATCCTTTTTTTTATGGCATAAGGAAGAAAAAAAGCTTTTCTCTGTAGCAGCCTCACTTCTCAGGTTAGAGACATCTTTTCTAAGTAAAATGGTGAAAAATAAAACTTTCACTTGATGATCTTAATGGTTTTTTGAGTGTTTTATTGCCCTTGCTCTAATATTGTAGCAACTTTATATATATATATTGCATTCAATTTCTTATATTATTTATAAAAACAGAAGAAAAAAAAATCAGTTAATTTATATAGTACCAAATCACAAGAAGTCATTTATCTAATTTATGTAAAAATTCTCGAAGGAAGCCAGCAGACTCGTTGAATCTTCATTGCAGTCTCTCTTCCTGAGCAAGCACAAAGGCAACAGTGGAAAGGAAAAACTCCCTTTTAACAAGAAGAAACCTCCAGCAGAACCAGGCTCAGGACATGCGGCCATCTGCTTCAACTAGCTGGGTTTGAGAGGACAGGAAGGAGAAACGAAACAGAATGGCAGCTCCAGATAAAGGAAGGAGTGAACAATGTCCCAAAGACCCATCTCTGCCTGATGCCCTCAACAAGTTCTATGCACGCTTTGAAGACCCGAACAGACCACCCAGCACCAGACTCACCTCACCACCGGATGAAGAGCATCTCAGCGTGACCTCAGCAGAAGTAAGGAGTACTTTCAGGAGGATTAATCCGCACAAAGCAACTGGCCCAGACAACATCCCCGGAAAAGTGTTGAAGGAATGTGCTGATCAGCTCTGTGAGGTGCTGGCAGACATCTTTAACACCTCACTTACCCTGGAGACAGTTCCCACCTGCCTGAAGACTGCCACCATCATCCCAGTCCCAAAAAGCTCTACAGTGACTGGTCTGAATGACTATCGGCCAGTGGCCCTCACCCCGATAGTCGCTAAATGCTTCGAAAAACTGGTCATGACTCACATCAAAACAACCATCAACATCAACGAGGACCCTCATCAGTACGCATACCGTGAGAACCGATCAACAGAGGATGCAATCTCCTCTGTGGTCCACACTGCACTCAACCACCTGGAGCAGAAAAACTCTTACGTCCGTATGCTCTTTGTGGACTTCACATCCGCCTTCAACACCATGATCCCCCAAACCCTGATGGACAAACTATCCACACTAGGACTAAGCCCCTCCATCTGCAACTGGGTACTAGACTTTTTAACAAACAGACCACAGTTAGTGAGGATCCACAACCTCTCCTCCTCCACCATAACTCTCAGCACTGGCTCTCCTCAGGGATGTGTGTTGAGCCCCCTCCTGTTTACTCTGCTCACATATGATTGTGCAGCTACCCATCCAGGCTGTCACATTGTAAAGTTTGCAGATGATACAGCGGTGGTGGGATGCATCACAAACAATGATGAGTCCAGCTACAGGCAGGAGGTGGAACACCTGGAGAGCTGGTGCAGAGAGAATAATCTTCACATCAATGTGAAGAAGACAAAGGAGATGATTGTGGACTTCAGAAGGAACAAAAACACCTACACCCCCCTGAACCTAAGAGGATCTGCGGTGGAAGTGGTCTCCAGCTACAAGTACTTGGGTGTACACATGAATGACAACCTCAGCTGGAGCAACAACACCACCAGCCTGATCAAGAAAGCTCATCAGAGACTCTACTTCCTCAGACGGCTGAGGCGAGCTGGTCTGGGAAGCTCAGTCCTCACCTCCTTCTACAGGTGTGCAGTGGAGAGCATCCTGTGCTCGAGCATCAATGTGTGGCATGGAGGCTGCACAGCTGCAGAAAGAAAAGCTTTGCAGAGAGTGGTGAAGGCTGCACAGAAATCTGTCGGAATCAGTCTCCCCACCATCACAGACATCTACACCTCCAGATGCAGGAAGAGGGCCACCTGCATCATGAAGGACCCCACCCACCCAGCACAACCACTTTTTGCCCCACTCCCCTCAGGAAGGAGGTTAAGGAGCATTAAGTGTAGAACCACTAGACTGAGGAACAGCTTCTACCCTGAGGCTGTTAGACTCATGAATCTCTAACTAGAATAATCACTGTGAAAAACCATATCATGTTGCTGCTGATCTGTTTCATGTTGCTGCTGATCTGTTTCAATGTTGATGTGTTCATGCGTGCACATCTGCTCACAGACTCATGTTCATGTTTGTGGTGATGTTCAATGTTTTATGTTATGAGTGCTTAGTGTATATTTAGTTGATGTTTTTCTTAGTTCATATCTTAGATGTTATTACTGTTTTTCTTATACATTTTATTGTTGGATGTAACTGGGACCCTGCGTACATAATTTCGCTCCACCACATGTACCACATGAGGTGCGAATGACAATAAAGAAACTCTGACTCTGACTCTGACTCTGACTCTCTGACTCTGACTCTGACAGATGTGTGTGCAGGTGTGCCCCCTATTGGAAGAACAAAAAAATAGTTTGATAAGTAAATACAACAGCAGGGTGAAGAAATGTAAGCCTATAGCAGCATAACTAAGGAATAGCTCAGGAAACCAAAGTCAACCCTAACTATAGGATTTATCAAAAAAGGAAAGTCTTAATCCCAGTCTTAAAACTGGACACTGTGTCAGCCTCATGGACACAAACTGGAAGTTGGTTCCACAAGAGAGGAGCCTGATAACTGAAAGATCTTCCTCCCATTCTGCTTTTGGAAACTAGGAACCACAAGTAAACCTGCAGTCTGAGAGTGAAGTGCTCAGTTAGGAAAATGTGGAATTATAAGATCTCAAATATAAAGATGGAGCTAGGTTGTTGAGAGCTTTGTTGGTTAGAAGTAAGACCTGACTGAAAAATGTTGGATTGTATACCTGGATTATTGAGCATGGACTTTGTTGTTTTCAACCAGTTTGACAAGACTGTCAACAAGGAAGAGGGCCGGCAATGGAGGAGTGGGCGTACCAAAGAGACCATCTTATCACAAGCAGAACTGGTTTGTTCCACTTTGGAGTAAGCTGTTGGGGGAAGAATCAGTTTTATTGTGTGTTTCCTTGACTGATGAAGCCTTCCGGACCGAAGACGAAACGTTTCAGCACAAAAAAAAAAGAAACTGTCCAGATGACCTGACTGAAAAATGTTGGATTAGAAGTAAGAGTTTGAATTCTATTCTGGATTTGACACAGAGCCATTGGAGAGAAGCTAAAACTGGAGAAATAATCTCTTCTATCAGCTCTCAAAAATAAGTTGGTCTTTGGGTTAGATCAGAGAAGGCCCTTATTTATTCATTTTAACAGCTCTGCAGGGA